TTCTTACTATCTCTGAGTTAGAGCGAAGGGTCTGTTTCCATGCTGTCTGACTATGACTCTGTAACTCTATGACTGTTTAGCTCCCCACGGATGCTGCCACAGCTGCTGTATTTCTCCAGTATTTTCTGTCTTTGTTTCAGAGTTCCAGTATCTTCAGTATTTTACTTTTGTTATAAGGGAATGAAATAAGTAGCTTCACCGGATTATGTTGCAGATTCACTGATAAGGTACATATCCCACTTGCCTGATAGCTATCACCAACCCTCTAAAGCTGGTTTTATACACCACTGCAAGCCAGTCATATTCTAAGCACTATTTTGCAAAATATGTTTACTGCTCCTGGGGCAGTTGATGCTGAATTTAAAAGACTGCTCCCTATTTAAATTTCTAATGCAAGTGATATGTTGATGTGCATGACTCGTTTTACAGAGTTAAATTGAAAATAAATCTCCAAGGACCTGGATGGTAAACAGTTGTGTTAGTCATTGCTTTGCAGTTATTTTGCCTGTTTAGATGTCCTTTTGCAAATAATATAAAATGTAGCGACTTCAAAATTATCTTTTATTTATATGGCTGCCAATTAAAAACTCAATTATAAATTTTATGTAACTATATATATTTGTTTTTAATTTAAAGTCACATATCTCACACTTCTGCTCTTGCAACTCTCATATATTATCATACAGGAAGATGGTTATGTTAATGCCACTGGACATTTAATCCAGGCACCCAGATGAATTCTGTGGGGACATGTGTTGAAATTCCACAATGGCAGCTGGAGGAATTTGAATTCAATCAAACGTTAGTCATCGGTAATGATAACCATGAAACTAGCATTAATTGTTGGAAACACTCATCCAGTTCACAAGTGTTTGCCATCTTTACCTGGTCTGCCCTACATCAGACTCCAGACCACAGCTGACTCTTAAATGTCCCCTGAAATGACATCCTTTAAAGGGCAATCACAGATATCCTCGTCCCATGGAAGAACTTTAAAAAAATATATCCAGTGCACACGTTTAACTTCCCAGCTGTAAAATTATTACAAGGTTTATAAGGCAAATTCATCTCTGCCTATATATAGATTTGTGTCTCAGGTCTACTTTCTAACAGCAATCCTACTGTGACCACACATTAGTTTATCCCAAGTTCAGATCAATGAACTTGCAGGGTTTCTATCAGATAAGGTGACACAATTTTCAGGTTACTTGAAGACCTCATGTACACAACGCTGGCAGTGCTGAACTAAAATCAGGAAATATCTGAGAAACACAGCAAGTTCTCTTCAAGAGATAATAAGAATGCCGCTACTGGAGTCTGAGATAACACAGTGTAGGGCTGGAGGAGCACAGCAGGCCAGGCAGCATTAGGGGAGCAGGAAAGCTGACGTTTCGGGTTGGGACCATTTCTGAAGAAGGGTCCCGACTTGAAATGTCAACTTCCCTGCTCCTCTGATGCTGCCTGGCCTGCTGTGTTCCTCCAGTTCCACACAGTGTTATCCCAAGTTCTCTTCAAAGAGTCATAATGGACTGCAAATGTTCACTCTGTTTTTCTCGCTCCACAAATGCTGTCAGACCTATTGAGATTCTCTAGCACTTCCTGCTTCTTTTTCAGATTTCCAGCATCTTCAGTATTTGCTTTTGTACTAAAAATTGCCGAGTATGCATACTTTTTGAGAAACTTTGCAATGTAGAAAAACAGATTTATTCATGATCGTGAAAGGTTCTCAAGCTGAACCTTGCAAAAGAATGCATTAATTAGGACTGAATTACTATTGTAACTTACTTATCCAGTTTCTCACATTCAGAAAACTCTGTTGACTCGTTAGATCAAAGACCAATAAAAATCCCATGGCATCCCTGAAAAAGGCTGTGGTGAGGCTTCGAAACCTACAGGAAGAAAAATAATGCTATGAACCATTTTAAAAAAAAACATAATCAAGTTGTCTGAGATAACAAGGTGTAGAGCTGGATGAACACAGCAGGCCAAGCAGCATCAGAGAAGCAGGAGAGCTGACGTTTCGGATCTGGACTCTTCTGAAGAAATGAAGGGTCCAGACCTGAAACGTCAGCTCCTCTGATGCTGTTTGGCCTGCTGTGTTCATGCAGCTCTACACCTTTTTATCTCAGATTCTCCAGCATCGGCAGTTCCCACTATCTCATAATCAAGTTGTCAATCCCTTATAGGGACACGGTGGCACAGTGGTTAGCACTGCTGCCTCACAGCGCCAGGGACCTGGGTTTGATTCCAGCCTCAGGTGACTGTCTGTGTGGAGTTTGCACATTCTCCCCATGTCTGCGTGGGTTTCCTCCGGGTGCTCTGGTTTCCTCCCACAGTCCAAAGATGCGCAGGTTAGGTGGATTGGCCATGCTAAATTGCCTGTAGCGTTCAGGGAGGTAGAGGGTGTATATTAGGTGGGTCATAGGGGAATGGATCTGGGTGGGATGCTCTGAGGTTCAGTGTGGACTTGTTGGGCTGAAGGGCCTGTTTCCACACTGTAGGGATTCTAATTCTTATACTCTGCCACAGTGGAATGTCTCATTAGGAATTTCTGGCTTGCACATCACTAATTTGGTATAATATTTTAGACATTACCCTGACATTCAGTACATAAAATTATTTTCTTACAATGAAAATTCCTCTGCTTGTGAAGTCATTTATTTTAAACATATTTTTCCCAATTAATTGTGACACTGAAAGCTATTATTTCACTTACATTTTATGAGCCTTCCCAGTTCAATAATCATCTTTGGTCGAGAGGGCAAACAAAACATTTTCAAGCCAATTCTCCTGTAGGAATTCATAGAATAGAATCCCTACAGTGTGGAAACAGGCCCTTTAGCCCAACAAGTCCACACAGACCCCTAGACCCAACCCCCACCTAATCTACACATCCCTGAACACAATGGGCAATTTAGCATGGTCAATCCACCTAACCTGCACAGTGTTGGACTGTGGGAGGAAACCCAAGCACCTGGAGGAAACCCACATAGACATAGGGAGAACATGCAAACTCCACACGGACAGTCACCCGAGGGTGGAATTGAACCAGGTCCCTGGCGCTGTGAGGCAGCAGTGCTTACCACTGAGCCACCGGGGATGAGCACATATAGTAGAGGGACTCTCTTTTTTCCAGTGGGCAACTGTCTGGCCTTACAAAGTAAGAACCAAAGGGTAGAAGAACAGGAAAGGAAAAGAAAATGTCCAAAGATGAGCAGGTTAGGTAGCTTGACATGGTAAATTGCTCTGCAATATTCAGGGATGTGCAGGCTATGTAGGTTAGTCATGGCAAATGTAAGGTTACGGGGATAGGGTGGGGGGCTGGGTCTGAGTGTGATGCTCTTCGGAGGGTCAGTGCTGTCTCAATGGGTTAAATGGCCTCTTTCTGCATTGTAAGGATTCAATGATTGTATGACAGGGGAACAGGGTGAACCAGCTAGTTACATCAGAAAGCCTATACCACTATGGGGTGAATGTTCTTCTGCTGTGCTATACAATTCTGTGAAATCTTTGTGGGAGAATTCGTAGAAACACACAAATCTAGACCCTGTGTCAATATTCCTAATGCCTAAACACCTACCCCCACCCATTAAATTATCAAATATGGGTAGACTTATATTGGTCTGCTTTGCTCTTTTAAAGGCATAGCAAATTCTTATTTAGCTCGGTATGAAAATTATTCACCAGGCACTGCATTAAACACTAAGGTCAGAGGTTCAATTTCTGGACCACACAACATCAGAATGGTAGTGAGAGTAAGAGGCTTAAATGCCTGAAACATTAACATTGCTGATCATTTGACGGTGAGAGTCAATACTATAAAGTTTGCATTTCTTAATAGGAGTTGTGTTTCCACAGTGTCTCTTTGTTTTGATTTAGTCACAAAAATAGTGGAACTTAGTTCAGTAGTAGATTTGATTTATTGCTGTCACATGTACCTGAGTGTTAGCTATTTACCAGCATTTCTTTTAAACACGTTTTGGACGCACATTTTTTTAAAATCTGCTTATGAGAGGAGGGCATTGCTGGCTGGCCAACATTTATTGCTCCAGCTGCCCTTGAGAACATGGTGATGATCTGCCTTCTTGAACCATTGCAGTCCATGTGCTGTAGGTAGACCCACAATGCCAAGTCAGGATGGTGAGTGGCTTGGAGGGGAACTTGCAGGTGGTGATGCTCCCTTGTATCTGCTGCCCTTGTCCTTCTAGATGGCAAGGGTCATGAGTTCAGAAGGTGCTGTCTAAGAACCCATGATGAATTTCTGCAGTGCATCTTGTAGATAGTATTTACTGCTGCTACTGAGTGTCAGTGATGGAGGGAGTGGATGATTGTGGATGTGATACTAATCCAAGTGGGTTGCTTTGCCCTGGATGGCATCAAGCTTATTGAGTGTTGTTGGAGCTGCACCCATCCAGGCATGTTTGATTGAAGCACTTTCAGTTAGAGCTCCTACTTCAGCTTGGACAACTTAGGCACACTAATGATCTGCAGACTCTCAGGTTTCCAAACTTGTCAGTCCGTTCATGTAGTGCATGGACTATGTCTAAAGGATTCTTTTTCTCTCTGTGTTCATTGAACCATTGACATCTTATTCTTATTTATGTCTACGAACAGAACAATGTTTCTCATTTGTAGCATCATTTTTCTTTGATGATTGCTTTCCAGAAGTAACCACTTGGAATCAACCAAGGGGATGTCAATAGATTGGTGAAGAATATTTTTTCACAGACGAACAAAAGATGAGAATGACAGAAGCAAGAATTGTACACGGTAGAATTTGAATTTGAAATTTGAAATGATAGAATACCTAGACAATATATCTTTATAGTGCCAATGCTTAGGCATTGCTTAAAGTAAATGAATTATTTATCGAGTGATTGAGGACTCTGGGTCTGTACCCAATGGAGTTTTGAAGGATGAGGGGGATCTGATTGAAACTTACCCAAAACTGAGAGGCCTGGATAGTGCGGACGTGGAGAAAATGTTTCTACTGGTGGGAGAGAGTAGGACCCAAGGGGGCAGCCTCAGAGTGAAGGGTCAGCCCTTTAAAACTGTGATGAGGAACAATTTCTTCAGCTAGTGGATGGTGAATCTTTGCAACTCTTGCCACAGAGGGCTATGGAGGCCAAGTCATTGAGTGTATTTAAGACAGAGATAGATAGGATCTTGATTGGTGAGGTAATCAAGGATTATGGGGAGAAGGCAGGAGAGTTGGGTTAAGAAACATATCAGTCATAACTGAATGGCGTAGCAGATGTGATGGACCAAATGGCCGAATTCTGCTCCTATGTTTAATGTTCTTATGGTCTTATTTAAAACAGATAAATATTTTCAAACATTTTTGAGCTCAGAGCAAAAATGTTGTGTTAACTGATTCGCAGCAGTGAAAACATTGGCTGAAGTATTTATATCGCCACGTAGATAATTTAACATACAACAGGGATGTTACCTAAATATTTCTTACAAACCCAATAAAACATCTGATATCTATCCATAGTCACTTAATGAGCAAATTAAATATGTACAAAAACAAACCACAGTGAAGGCTGAATATCTGAAATAGAAAGGGAAAATCAGCAGACCAGGCAGAAATCATGGAGGGAACCAGAGTTAATGTTTCAGGTCAATGACCTTTCATCAGACATGCTGAATCTTACCAGTCTCTGTTTTAACAAATCAAACATTGTTATCAAACTTGTAATCAAAGGAACAACTGAAAAATCCATTGATTAAGTAAGTGTAAGGGTTGAATTCCCTATGATGTTACACTGTCTTGGACAAGCCAAAATCATATTGAAGGCAAGAATTGTTTTGAAATCCCAATGGCTTTAAAATCTTCCTCGTCAAATCTTTTTAAATTCATTCATAGGATGTGAGTGTTGCCAGCTGGACAGCATTTATTGCCCGTCCCTAGTTGCCCTTGTGAAGATGGTGGTGAGCTGCCTTCTTGAACTGCTGCAGTCCACCTTCTGTGGATTGACCCACAATGTCATTAGGGAGGGAATTCCAGGATTTTGACCCAGTGACAGTGAAGGAATGGTAATATATTTCCAAGTCAGGATAGTGAGTGGCTTGGAGGGGAATTTGCAGGTGGTAGTGTTCCCATATATCTACAGCTCTAGTCCTTCTATATGGAGGTGCTCCTAGGTTTGGAAGGTGTTGTATGAGGATCCTTGGTGGATTTCTGTGCTGCATGTTGTAGATAGTACATACTGCTGCTACTGAGCATCAGTAGCGGAGGGATTGGATGCTTGTGGATGTGGTGCCAATCAAGTGGGTCACCTTGCCCTGAATGGTGTCAAGCTTCTTGAGTGTTGTTGGGGCTGCACCCATCCAGGCAAGTGGGGAGTATTTCATCACACTACAGACTTGCGTCTCGTAGACGATGGACAGGCTTTTGGGAGTCAGGAGATGAGTTACTCGTCACATTATTCCTAGCCTCTGATTTTCTCTTGTGGCCACTATGTTTATATGGTGAGTTCAGTTAAATTTCTGGTCAATGGTAACATCAAGGATGTTGATAGTGGGGGATTCAGTGATGGTAACACCATTGAATGTCAACGTGCCACTGTTAGATTGTTTCTTATTGGTGATGGTCATAGCCTGGCATTTGTGCAGCACAATGTTACTTGCCACTTGTCAGCCCTGGATATTGTCCAAATCTTGTTCAATTTAAACACGGACTGCTTCAGTATCTGAGGAGTCGCGGATGGTGCTAAACATTGTGCAATCATCAGTGAGCATCCCCACTTCTGACCTTATGATGGAGGGAAGGACATTGATGAAGCAGCTGAAGATGGGCATCAGGGGACAAACTTTCCACTGGTTGGAGTCATACCTGGCACATAGGAAGATGGTCGTGGCTGTTGGACATCTGTCACCTCAGCTCCAGGGCATCTCTGCAAGAGTTCCTTAGGATAGTGTCAGTAAGATGGTAGTTGAGTGCAAGAAGGCAGCAGAGTATGACGTTCCAGTGAGAGGTCCTTTGCTTGCCAGTTCCCTTACCTTTTTCCCTCTTTTCTTCTCTCTTTTTCCCTTTCTCCATCCCCACCCCTGGAGACTGGAGTTGTGGAGTAAGCGGACAGAGACCCACAGAGGACCAGAATGTGCAGGCCAAGACCTGCGGTGGACAGGAGAGAGCATGGGCCAAGTCCTGCAGCAGAACTAGCATCGGCAGCGTGGTCTTGTGCTCTGGGGCTTGCAAGTGCGCCCCTGAGCCCAGGAACACCATTAGCAGTGAGCCCTGGAGCAGCACGTGGGCTGACAGCCCTGGAGCAGTGAGTGGGCTGAGAACCCTGGAGCAGCACGTGGGCTGAGAGCCCTGGAGCAGTGAGTGGGCTGAGAGCCCTGGAGCAGTGAGTGTACTGAGAGCCCTGCAGCAGTGAGTGGGCTGAGAGCCCTGGAGCGGCTAGTGGGCTGAGAGCCCTGGAGCAGTGAGTGGGCTGAGAGCCCTGGAGCAGCACATGGGCTGAGAGTCCTGGAGCAGTGAGTGGGCTGAGAGCCACGGAGCAGTGCAGGGAAGAAGCCCCCAGAGCAGCATACAGGCAGCAAGTCCTAGACAGAGACTGGTGTGAGGGGACAATCCTTACCTTAGAACGTACCTTAGAACACTGTAATGTTAACCCCTTAATATCACCCTTAATATATTCTTATTTTTAACTTATTTTCAACTACGTAATTAAGCAACTACTTTAATCCCTGTGCTGTATCCAAGAATTGTACTTAGGTATATGTACCTAAGATGTCGGAAACTACCCTGAAGAACTCCTGCAGAGATGTCCTGGAGCTGAGACGACTGACCTCCAACAACCACGACCATCTTCCTATGTGTCAGGTATGACTCCAATCAGTGGAAAGTTTGCCCCTGATACCCCGTGATTCCAGTTTTGCTAGGGGGTCCTCGAGGCCGCACTTGGTCAAATGTGGCGTTATGTCAAGAACTGTCAGATTTTGAATTCAATAAAAATCTGGGATTAAGATTCTAGTCATGACCATGAAACCATTGCTGATTATTGGAAACACCCAACTGGTTCACTAATGTCCTTTTGGAGGGGAATCTGCCATTCTTACCTGGTCTGCCTACATACAACTCCAGACCGACAGCAATGTGATTGACTCTCAACTGCCTTCTGGGCAATTAGGGATGGTTAATAAATACTGGCCTGACCAGTGATGGTCACATCCCATCTCACAGAACCTCTGGAATTCAGCTCTTTTGTCCATGTTTAAACCAAGGCTATAATAAGGTCAGGAGCTAAGTGGCCCTGGCAGAACCTAAACTGGGCATCACTGAGCAGGTCATTGCTGAATAGGTGCTGCTTGATAGTACTATTGATGACAGCTTCCAACACTTTCCTGGCGATCAAGAGTAGACTGATGGGGGCAGTAATTGGCTGGGTTGGATTTGTCCTGCTTTTTATGTACAGGCATACCTGGGCAATTTTCCACCTTGTCAGGTCAATGCCAGTGTTGTAACTGTATGGCAGAACTTGACTAGGGCAGCGGCAAGTTCTGAAGCACAAGTCTTCAGTACTATTGGTACTGTAGTGGTATGAGTTTTCTCTCTCTCAATAAAAAAAAATTATTTGCCAAACATTTTTTTTGTCAAAGCAGAGCCTCTTTAAGTAGACTATAATGAAACCAGCAGGAGAAAAGTAAGTCAGTCATTGATTAGTGTATGAAAAAAACTGAAGAAATTTACAAGAGCAGAATTTTACTGGGTAGGGCATGTATTGTTCACACCACAACCCCGTTCTCCCAACTTGGTGGGACAAACTCTAACAAAAAAAAAGCTGCTTGCCTTTCAGTGATAACCCATTGGGATCTGCCTAAATTAGGTAACTGTGGGACAATCATCCTTAGGAGAAAGAAGTCCTGCCCCCAAGAGCTTCTGCCCAATCTGAATGGCTGGCTGTTGAATATTCCTAGCAGTTCCAACACACAGTTGTGGTCACTACTGGGTGACAAGCAGTACTGATGAAGCACAAAAATGGGGCTAACATCTTCGGGGCAGGTGGGCCCAACAGGCACCAGGCACCCCCTCCAAAAGGAGGTATCCCTCATCCTTTGTTCCTCTCGGCTTAAGATGGTAATACAGTGGGCTGGGTTCTTTCAATCTGCATTCCCTAACTGTATGTATTATTATGCCTTGACTGAGTGTTGCAGACCAATACTTTCCAAGGTCTACGTGCTGAGGGATGCACTAAAGCTTGGGGCAGCTGCCGCCAAGGCACAGAGAGGAAAGACCACCATCTAAGGTCTTTCTGCCAAAGGTAAATGGTGTGCTGTTTAAGTACTGGACCCTTCTCAAACTGGATGCCTCAAACAAATGTAAATATAGTCTTGGGCAAGTAACAAATGCCTTGAGTTTGTTTGTTGGATAGAGTCAAACACCAATTTTTATTTGTTTCTTCATGTGCCACAGTACAGAACCGAACTGCCTCAGTGACTATGTGTGTATATAAAAAGATATTTTTATGAATAAAGTATATTTTTGAAATTTAAAAAAAAATTATGGTGGGAGTGAAACCCGTCTCCCAAAGGCCTCAGTGGGCCCAAGGGCAGGATTCCCCATCAATGTCTTAATCAAACACCATATTACAGGGACAAGAACAGACGCTGCTGGAAAAACTCAGCAGGTCTGGCAGCATCTATGGAGAGAAATGTTTTGGGTCAGTGGCCCTTCCTCAGAAGTTCTCAGGAATGGTCACCGGACCTGAAATGTTAACTCTGATTTCTAGTCACAGATGCTGCCAGACCTGCTGAGCTTTTCCAGCTATTTCTGATTTTTGTTTCTGATTTACAGCATCCTCAGTTCTTTTGGTTTTTATTTACATTAAGGGAGATGATTTGGTATTGGGTGGGGATGTAGTGGCCTACCCCTCTCCCGCTCAATTTTACATCATATTCCTCCTTCCCGCCACAACTGGTGGATATGATGGTAGTGGGGTCAGGGGTTTGGCTGCATGTTGGTTAACAGAAATACAGAATTACCTTTCCTGCCCAGCTGTATCCCATAGTTGGAGATGGATTTTAAAAGGATTGTTTGTTTTACTGTTCACTCCTCCAACATAGTGTTCCTAAACAAAAGAATGCAATTTTATTAGTGATGGATTGCAATGTTAGGCTTAATATTATCAGGTTTTTAGATCCATTCCTTACAGATTTTGCAGTAAAAGAAGCAATGATACTGTTGTAGTGTGTTCCTCTTGGTTACTTCTCTACTTACATTGGGAAACAGGGTATACCCTGTGGACCCAGAAAAACATTGCATCTTCACATACAGAGCCCACACATTAGAAAATCCCACCACCCCAAAAATACACACACACACACATACTTTTTCACTTAGCTGTCCAGCTTGATTCATTTCCAATCCTGTCCCCATACACAAGTTGTCTTGGGGTGCCTCTTTAGCATATACACCTTGTTGGATATGTACTAATAAGACATGACCAAGATGGTTCAGTTTTCTGGCTACTGTGATTAAGTTCATGGCAGCTTGATAAAAATGCACATCAGATTACAGGAATCAAATAAGTTCCCATTTGTTTATGATCCAGCGATTTGAAGAACTTCCTCTGCCTTAACAGACATTACTTTTTTAATAAATTGAGAAAACTGGAATGAGATCACAGGATTTTATATTTCTATCATGTTTCAAATGGCTCAATACCATCTGTTTCTGTGGCTCTTCGTCCACCAGTTTGAACATTCACTCCCCCGACCAGCGGACAGTAGCATGCAGTATTGATAAAGGGTACTGCAACAACTTAACAAATCTCCTTCAACTGCACCGTCCAAACATGCAACGTCTGCATCTAGAAGGTCAAAGATAATAGATGTAGAGGAATAACATCACCTGCAATTTCTCCTACAAACCGTATACCATCCTGAAAAAGAATTTCAAGACTTATATTTATAAAGGCAAGGGATTACGGAAAGTCAAAATGGCTTTGCACATGGGAAATCGTGTCTCATGAACTTGATTTTTTGAATAAGAAACAAAGAGGATTGATGAGGGCAGAGCAGTGGACGTGGTCTATATGGACTTCAACAACGTGTTTGACAAGGTTCCTCATGGTAGACTGGTTAGCATGGTTAAATCACACGGAGTACAGAGACAAGTAGCTATTTGGACACAGAACTAGCTCAAAGGTAGAAGACAGAGGACGGTTGTGGAGGATTGTTGTTCAGACTGAAGGCCTGTGACCAGCGGTGAGCCACTGCTGCTGGGTCCACTGTTTTCTGTCATTTATATAAATGATTTGGACATGAACATAGGAGGTAAGGTTAGTAAGTTTGCAGATGACACCAAAATTGGAGGTGTAGTGGATAGCAAAGAAGGTTACCTTAGAGTACAATGGGATCTTGATCAGATGGGCCAATGGGCAGAGGAGTGGCAGATGGAGTTTAATTTAGATAAATGTGACGTGCTGCATTTTGGAAAGGCAAATCAGGGCAGGACTTATAGACTTAATGGTAAGGTCCTGGGGAGTGTTGCTGAACAAAGAGGCCTTGGAGAGCAGGTTCATAGTTCCTTGAAAGTGGAGTCGTACATAGATAGGATAGTGAAGAAGATGTTTGGTATGCTTGCCTTTATTGGTCAGTGTAGGAGTTGGGAAGTCATGTTGCGGCTGTACAGGACCTTGGTTCGGCCACTTTTGAAATACTGTGTGTAATTCTGGTCTCCCTGCTATAGGAAGGATGTTGTGAAACTTGAAAGGGTTCAGAAAAGAATTACAAGGATGCTGCCAGGGATGGAGAGTTTGAGCTAGAAGGACAGGTTGAATAGACTGCGGCTATTTTCCCTGAGCGTCTGAGGCTGAGAGGTGACCTTGTAGAGGTTTATAAAATCATGAGGGGCATGGATAGGGTAAATGGACAAGGTCTTTTCCCTGGGGTTGGGGAGTCCAAAAGTAGAGGTCATTCATTTAAGGTGGAAGGGGAAAGATTAAGCGGGACCTAAGGGGCAACTTTTTCACGCAGAGGGTGGTGTGTGTGTGGAATGAGCTGCTAAAGGAAGTGATGGAGGCTGGTACAATTACAACATTTAAAGGGCATTTGGATGGGCATATGAATGAAAAGGTTTAGTGAGATATGGGCCAAATGCTCGCAAACTGGACTAGATTTATATAGGATATTTGCTTAGCATGGATGAGTTGAACCGAAGAGTCTGTTTCCGTGCTGTATACCTCTATGACTCTATGACATTACATTTTTCATTGAGAAAAAAATGATCACCTTGGGCTGTACTTTCAGTCTTGAGAGACAAGAGGGGACAAAGTTTCAACAGAAAATATCCTTCACTCTTCCCTTTATTTAATGTTAAACAGTACATTGTTAGGAATTAAGTTTCATGATGGATTTTTCGGGTTTCTTTACAATATCATGGTGAACTGTCATTTTGTGTATCCACAAATGAGTTGATAAACTGTCTCCTATAGGACATTAAGCAGATTTTGCACTGGCAGGAACGTTGATCAGGAGTCACACAAGCCACAGAGATTCATTGCTACCTGGGTTGTTGCCAGTTTAGAAATTCCCAACATTCACTAGATTTAATTCATGTTGCTGATACACAGAACCCTCTGGGAGCCACTGCTTTGCATGGCCAGGACTGATTTCAGTTTAATAGTTCTTGAACACAAAGGAAAGTCAATGTCGGAGGATCTTCATTGGTTCAAACATTTCAAAATAAAAGCATGTTCTACCAGGTGATAGAGGGTATTTAAACTCAAAAAAATTGGACTTTACCCAGAATGGGCAATGAGTAAAAAGGCACTTTCCATTAGAATATTATCCTTCCTTAATTTTTCTTTTGGAAAGAAAATGTCGTAGTTAAATGCTAATTAAAGTTCACAGTGAGGTTCAACCTGGCACAGACAAAGGCACTGCCTGATTAATGTGGGATGCATTGTGGGGGAAATTTTCCACGTGTGGCATTAACATTTTACTCATCCCACATCAGGGTTAGGATACAATCAAATGTCATTCTCTCAAGGGGGAAGTGTTTGAGACTGAAAAGGGTCCCACTTAGCATCAGTTTACTTTATGTATCGTTTCATGGAATGTGGGCATTGCTAGGAGGACCAGCATTTCTTGCCCAAATCTAATTACCTTTGAAGAGGTGGTGGTGAGCCACCCTCTTGAATCCCTGCACATTATCTGACAGGTATAACCGCAGTGCCACTCGGAAGGGAGTTCCAGGATTTTGATCGAGCAATAAGGAAGGATTGGAATATGCTTCCAAATCAAGATAGTGTGTGAGTTGGAGGGAAATTAGCAAGTGATGGCGTTCCATGCATCTGCTGCCTTTCACCTTCTAAGTGGTAGGAATTTGGAAGGAGGAAATTATCACAGGACGTTTGGTGACTTACTGCTATGCACCTTATTGATGGAATACTCTGTTGCCACTGTGTGTTGATGATGAAAGGAGTGAATGTTGATGCTGATGATATGGCATCAATCAAGCAGGCTCATTACAATAATATACAATAATACAACACAGTGCAGGAACAGGCCCTCCAGCCCACCTAGCCTGCTCCAATTCCCAATCCTTATTTAAACCTCCTACTTATTGCCCATGTTTGGTTTCTATCCCTCTGTTCTCCTCTTGTTCATATGTCTATCAAGATACACCTTAAACGTTACTAACTTGCCTGCTTCCACCACCTCCATTCGCAGTGCATTCTAGGCACCTACTTCTGTGCGAAAAATTTTCCCCGCACTTCTCCCCTAAATTTTCCTCCCTCATCTTGAACCTGTGCCCTCTTGTAGTTGACCTTTCCATCCTGGGAAAATGCCTCTGACTATCCATTATATCTATACCTCTCGTAGACCTCTTTGTAGACCTCTATCAGGTCACTCCTCAGCCTCTGTCTTTCCAGTCATTCTTGAATGTTGTTAGAGCTGCACTCATCCAGACAAGTGGAGAGTATCTGATCACACTCCTGATTTGTGCCTTCTACATGATGTAGAGCCTTTGGGAAATCAGGAGATATGTTATTTACCTCAGATTTCCCAGTCTCTCACATGCAGCCATTCAACTTATATGGCTCATACAGTCAATGCTAAGCCTAAGGATGTTGATACTGAGGGAATCAAAGTGAAAGATTTTCCCCTGATGGAGATGGTCATTGACCAGCAATTGTGTGGTGCAAATGTTACTTGCCACTTATCAGCCCAAACCTGAAAATCATCCAGGTGTCTATAGCTTCACTCATATCGATATATTAACTCAATTCCCTGATTAGTCTAATCTTTTATTATTCAACTCACCACAGAGATCCTAATCAGCCATAACGTACATTGCAATAAGTAGAAACTGACAATACCTTAACAATGATATCTACCATTTGAAAATCCAGACATTTCCCCACAGAACATTCAAATAATTGGCAGAGAATTAGTTTTACAAGTACATTTTTGAAACAAGTTTAATTTTTTGTAAGATTTTTCCTCTTTAGTTCACCTTTGGGCATTAGGTTTCAGCTAGAGTGATAAAAACCATAAGAAAGTACTCACCAGTCTCTTTTCTCGGAAGTCAATTCCCACTGTGGTGACAAACTTGGGGTTGAACTTATTCTCTGTGTATCTGTACAGAAATGTGGTCTTACCAACTCCCGAGTCTCCAAGAGCCAGGAGCTTGATCAGATAATCATAGTCCCCATCAGTCATAGTGCTATTCACGCTGATGCTGTAAGAAACAGGTCAAAAAGAGCAGAACATGAGAACCAAAATCTTACAAGAGACGACCTTCACTCTTTACCTGCAATCTTTATTGCTGGTGACAAAGAAATATCTGAGTTTCAAATGACCCCAGAGATACAGAACAACCGGATACTCTAAGCAGCTACTAAATTTTAATAAAAGCATTTGTTAATATACATGTAAATCTCAAAATAGATATTGATAGAAAGCATAGAATCCCTACAGTGTAGAAACAGGTCCTTTGGCCCAACAAGTCAACTCAGACCCATCCCCCATGAACCACCTAATCTACACATCCCTAAACACTATGGGCAATTTAGCATGGCCAATCCACATAGCCTACACACTGTGGGAGGAAACTGGAGCACCCAGAGGAAACCCACACAGACACAGGAAGAATGTGCAAACTCCACACAGACAGTCACCTGAGGGTGGAATTGAACCCAGGTCCCTGGCACTGTGAGGCAGCAGTGCTAACCACTGAGCCACCATGCCACCCCAATAAGAATCTTGTCTTGTCCGGGAGTCGAACCTGGGACCTCTCGCATGCCAACACTGTAGAATACCCTAAGCAAGCATCCTACCCTTAGACCAACAAGTTGGCCCCTCAAAGCATCTTGTGATCCTATTGCATTTGGTCAGCCTTTTAAAGTAGAAGTGCAACTTAAGACCAAGTCTGGTTTTTTACTATAACTTCTTAGAAATGCTAAGTTTGAAACATTTCCAAAGTTTTCCACGATAAGTTCTTATGTTCACATTTAAAATGGAAATTATCTGACAAAACTCACACACTATTGGAGCCTCTCATTACTGAAGGTGCTGCAGTGAATTGCTCCAGTATTGCATCTCCTTGCACTCCAATTTATATTGCAAATAATTTGCTAAAATCTGTGTTTTTCCTTCCCAAGTAGGATTTATAGGTGAACAGGGCATCTATTTGCCCTGGTTCAGTTATCCCCAGCCCACTGACCCAACATGGCTGATGAATGCATTCCTACATTCAAGTCAAATGTCTGATTCAAATCCTATCCAATGTAATATTTCAATATTGTGGAATAATGAGCTGGATATAATCTGGGAATTGGATGCTCATGTGTTTCAGTGGTAATGTCCTTACATCTGAGCAAGGTGATTCTGAAATATCAACAAACCAGGCTTCTGACCTAAACACATCCTATCAGACATGTGAAGCTAAAATCAGGGCATTATACTACGGTCCTTATGTGCCCAGAGCTTAAACATTAAAAACTGAAAGAACTGTGGATGTTGCAAATCGTAAACCAAAACAGAAATTGCAGGAAAAGCTCAACAGGTCCGGCAGCATCTGTGCAAAGTAGTCAGTCATTGTTTTGGGTCGAGAGACATTTCCTCAGAACTCAATTGAACTTGAGTTCTCATGAAGGGTCACTCAACCCGAAACGTTAACTCTGATTCCTCTCCACAGATGCTGCCAGACCTGCTGACACTTTCCAGGTTTTTTTCTGCTTTTGGTTTGAGGTTAAACATTAACTCATTACCTAAGGAACAATAAGAAAGAATGCGGGTTGCCAACCTTTTTGGAACATTTCCTGAGCATAGTAAATGATGACAGAAGAGTAATTGAGACTTTTAGCCTGGAATTTAATAAGACACATGTGGGTCTTGAAAGCAAAACCAGAAATAGGCAGCAATTCAGCTTTTGTATCAGGACCCAGATTCAAACAATTCACAATAAAATTTAAAGGACCAATTATGGCCAAACATGTGATTATACAGAGGGGCCAGTATTCATTGGTGGTTCCAGTTGTCAGGAGACAATGTTATATGATTATAAAACAGAGTCAAACAGATAAAATCATGGCCGCAACTTACCAGCACATCTACATTCTATCAGTACTTTACTGGCCTGGGCCAAACTCCTCCACCCATCACACCCAAGTCCCTTTAACAGCACCAATTCCTGATCCCAGATGAGGACTAAGCTTATGGTTTAGAGGTGCCTGCCTGCAGATTTGAAGCATTGTGCCGATATCACAGTTTCTCTTATCACATGGTATAAATTCTGGGGTGTGTTTCCACTGGGAACAATCCCACTTGCCATCCTCATCTGCCATGAAGGCTGCTGAGTTCCCAATCTTCAATATCTCTTAAACCCTTTCCATAAAGTTCTGATAAATGAGTACAGTAACCAGCAGCAGAAATTCATGTCTTGTCTCTCTTCACTTACACCTCATTGCAGAAGCATTTTAAAGTACTTCAATTATCTGTGAAGCATTAATGAAGACATCATTAATGATCATCTCACATTATTGGCAAGTGGAGGAATGAGCAAAAATGCCTGTCATTTAGAATACTGGACCAAAACGCCTGGATTTTTAACAGAACTTTTAAAACAAAAAGAAAGGCAGCTGGGCTGTGCTCTGGAACACACAATCACGGGGATAGCTGTCTGGAACCATGGTTCGGTTAGAAATCCTATTCACGTCTCAGCCCTAAAGGAACAATGAACCAGACAGTAACTTCAGACAGAGATGGTAGGAACTGCAGATGCTGGAGAATCTGAGATAACAAGGTGTAGAGCTGGATGAACACAGCAGGCCGAGCAGCATCATAGGAGCAGGAAGGCTGATGTTACGGGCCTAGATCCTTCATCAGAATTGGGGGGGGGGGAAGGTGGTTCTGAAATAAATAGGGCGAGAGGGGGAGGCGGATAGAAGATGGATAGAGGAGCTGCAGTGGGAGAGAGATCCCCTGAGGTTTGTCTGGAGGGAGGAGGGTAACTTCTTCAGGGTAGCCATCCTTAGAAGAGGCTTCGCAGTGGGGTTAAAATTGTATCAGGAACTGCAGATGCTGGAGAATCTGAGATACTAACCTCATCCCGCCCCCTTGACCTGTCCGTCCTCCCTGGACTGACCTATCTCCTCCCTACCTCCCCACCTACACTCACCTTTACTGGCTCCATCCCCACCTCTTTGACCTGTCTGTTTCCTCTCCACCTATCTTCTCTTCTGTCCATCTTCTATCCACCTCCCCCTCTCTCCCTATTTATTTCAGAACCCCCTTCCCCTCCCCCATTTCTGATGAAGGGTTTAGGTCTGAAACGTCAGCCTACCTGCTCCTATGATGCTGCTTGGCCTGCTGTGTTCATCCAGCCCTGCACCTTGTTATCTCAGTAACTTCAGACATCCTGGACTCTTCAGAGGTACCAAGGCATTCAACTCAATTAATTTCATTCAGAGAAATACTGGAAATTCCACTTAATCAAAACACATTTACACCTACTCTACACGATCAGGAAGTCAATTCACCACAAAGGGGACAAAAACACCATGGATAACACAGATTTGCGAGGTGATAACATAAGAACATAAGAACTAGGAGCAGGAGTAGGCCATCTGGCCCCTCGAGCCTGCCCCGCCATTTAATAAGATCATAGCTGATCTTTGAGACTCAGCTCCACTTACCCACCCACTCACCATAACCCTTAATTCCTTTACCTTTCAAAAATTTATCTAGCCTTGCCATAAACACATTCAGCGAGGTAGCTTCAACCACTTCACTGGGCAGGGAATTCCACAGATTCACAACCCTTTGGGTGAAGAAGTTCCTCCTGACCTCAGGCCTACATCTGCTTCCCTTTATTTTGAGGCAATGCCCTCTAGTCCTAGTTTCACCTGCTAGCGGAAACAACCTCCCTGCCTCCACCTTATCTATTCCCTTCATAATCTTATATGTTTCTATAAGATCTCCCCTCATTCTTCTGAATTCCAATGAGTATAATCCCAGTCTACTCAGTCTCTCCTCATAATCCAACACTCTCAACTCTGGAATCAACCAAGTGAATCTCTTCTGCACCCCCTCCAGTGCTAGTATATCTCTTCTCAAGCAAGGAGACCAAAACTGCACACAGTACTCCAGGTGTGGCCTCAACAGGACCCTATACAGCTGCAGCACAGCCTCCCTGTTTTTAAACTCCATCCCTCTAGCAATGGCAGACAAAATTCCATTTGCCTTTTTAATCACCTGCTGCATCTGCAATCCCACCTTCAGCGATTCATGCACAAGGACACTCAAGTCCCTCTGCACAGCAGCGTGCTGCAATTTTTCTGATGAAGGGTCTAGGCCCGAAACGTCAGCCTCTCTGCTCCTATGATGCTGCTTGGCCTGCTGTGTTCATCCAGCCCTGCACCTTGCTGCAATTTTTTACCGTTTAAAACATAGTCCATTTTGCTGTTATTCCTACCAAAATGGATGATCTCACACTTATCAACATTGTACTCCATCTGCCAGACCTTTGCCCACTCACTTAGTCTATCTATATTCCTCTGCAGACTTTCAGTGCCTTCTGCACACTTTGCTCTATCACTCACCTTAGTGTCATCTGCAAATTTTGACACACCACACTTAGTCCCCAACTCCAAATCATCGATGTAAATTGTAAACAATTTCGGTCCCAACACTGATCCCTGAGGCACACCACTAGCCACTGACCGCCAACCAGAAAAACACCCATTTACCCCTACTCTTTGCTTTCTACTGGTCAACCAATCCTCTATCCATGCCAATACATTACCTGTAATACCGTGCAACTTTATCTTATGTAGCAGCCTTTGGTGTGGCACCTTGTCAAATGCCTTCTGGAAATCCAGACACACCACATCCACAGTTTCCCCATTGTCCACCATGCAAGTAATGTCCTCAAAGAATTCCACCAAATTAGTTAAACATGACCTACCCTTCATGAACCCATGCTGGGTGTTCCCAATGGGACAATTTATATCCAGATGTCTTGCTATTTCTTCCTTAATGATAGATTCAAGCATTTTCCCCACTACCAAAGTTAAGCTAACTGGCCTGTAGTTAGAGATAGTAGGAACTGCAGATGCTGGAGAATCCAAGACAACAAGGTGCAGAGTTGGATGAACACAGCAGGCCAAGCAGCATCACAGGAGCAGAAAGGCCAACGTTTCGGGCCTAGAACCTTCATCAGAAATGGGGAGGGGAAGG